GCTGGGATACTAGGATATGGTGCATGGTGGTAGGACTGTTCAGAGATACAAAACCTGTCCTCAAGGACTCACCAAGCCAGTGAGGATGAAAAACAGGCCCGAAACAACAGTAGTCCTGGCCATGAGGCTACGCTCCCTTAGGACAATTCTGAGTGAGTCTGAAGTTTAGGGTTCAGGCAATGGATGATGGCCTCCAGCTGGAGCAGAAAGGGGCAAGCTCAGGGCAGGCCCAAGAGAAAGGAACAAGTCCCCCAAGGCTGGCGATGTAAGCCCCACCTATGAAACAGCAAGTGCCTGCTGACCAGCACTGCATCCCTATGGGCATGTAAAGCATATGGGTGAAGTGGGCTCAGAGGAATTGACGGAACAGTGAGGGTCTTGGCCAAACAGAGCATTCCTCTGCCATCTAAGGAAGCAGCCACTTCTCAGCTCCAGTCAGTTTTTCCTGTGTGTGTGTGTGTGTTGTGTGTGTGTGTGTCATAGGAGAATGTTGGCTCCCAAGTTCCAAGTGTATCCATTTATGAGAAAAACTAAAACTTAAAAATTGTATATACTACAACCAGATTTTTAAATGATGATCAGGAACTGGTAATATTTTAGCAAAGTATGGGCCAAGGAACGTATACCTGGGCACTGGCTCTGACTGAGGGGACAGGTCCTTGTAAAGGTTGATAGAGGGGAGCAAAAGTGGCAGAGCCCACAGAGTAACCACACCCACTCCCTGGACTCTATGGCAGTAGTTCCCCAGGGGTACTGCTCCACCCACAGCCAAGGCATCCCTGGGGAACTCGTTAGGAATGCTCACTCTCAGGCCCCGGGGGCCCCACTGAATCAGAATCACTGGAGATGGGTAAGCAGGGGTTGTGGGAAGGAGCCCCCAGGAGGTTCTGCTACTCACTGTCTCAACTTTGAGAAAGACTCTCTCATGGGAATCAGACTCTAGCCTTAAAGTCATCTTTCCTCTTCCTGAACCCATTTCCTGTTTCTGTCATCTGGAAGCTTACCAACCACCTCAGGACACAACCCTCTGCTAATCCTATATAATAAAAGGCTAATATGCAAATGGACTGAACGGCAGAACAACCTAAAAACCAGTCACTATGAGGTGTGCTAACCAGGGGGCGTGTGGCAGAACAACCTAAAAACCAGTCACTATGAGGTGTGCTAACCACCAGGGGGCGTGTGCTGAACATGGCAGGCATTGGTAGCAGGCAACAGAGCACAGGATATGGTGGGTGTTGGCCACAGCGGGATGGTGGAGCAGGTGAGCAGGGGCGCCAGACCAAGACGGGGCACTGGTCGATGTTATCAGGGCGAGCCTCTGGTGGTTACTGAAAATTTGCTTGGCGCCATCAGCAGGTGTGAGCAGTGACTGCCGCCTGATTGCCCCTAAGGGCTTCTCCACCTCCCCCTACTCCTGAGGGGCAATTGGGGCAGCAGCCACTGCTCGCACCTGCTGATGGTGCTGGCTCCACTCACACCCACTGCTGGTGCCGGTCCCAATCACTTGGCGCCGTCAGCCGAGTGATTGGGGTGAGCGGGGCCAGTGCCATCAGCACATCGGAGCTGCAGCAGTGGGAGTGTGGCTACCAGCAGACAGGGGACTGGGGGCCAGGCAGGGACGGGGAGGATGGGCTGAGACCTGACCCTGTGCCCACCGCAGCCTTGAGGCCCACAGTTCCTTTCAAGATGCACGAATTCGTGCACTGAGCCCCTAGTGTTCAAAATAACAGAGAAAGATGACTGTGTAGACATTGCCCATCATCTCACTTTAACACAGGGTGCAACCACATAGGGTGTTATATACATGTATTACCTGCATCATCATGGAGAAGTCATGGAGAAGAGACTATATGTGTCTATGCATGTGTATGTGTACATATGTACATGTATGTGTACATGTATGTGTATTTGTATGTTATGGAACTCTCCAGAATGGAGCAGAAAGGAAAGGTGTCCTGCTATGAATTTTTAATCATAGAAAAAGACCCTCTTGCTACAGAAAGAAATCTGCTTCTGCTTGATAGTACTTTCTAAGTAGATGAAATTGTTTTTGTGCAACATTGAAATTTCCAGGACCCTGGTTCCAATCAATCCTAGGAAGCACCTGGCCTAAAGTCAATATTGTTCCTTTGGAAAGATATGTTAAAATTTGTGTTTTGTCTGAAGAATTATGACCGTGCAGCTCTCATCCTCTGCCTCTCTCTGCAAGCAATGCCATGATGTTACATAGGATATTCCAGCAACTGCTCTCCATCAAGTATCACCCAGCGGGAGGGATTCACGTGATTCTGCGCATGAGACTCATATGACCACACATTTGGTGGTGCTGGAGCTGGTTATTAAAAGGCCCCTTCACTTTCTTCTTTTACTTAAGATGGTCCTAAATTAGTCAAAATACCCTTCAACATGCTGTGAGATGTCATGGCATCCGTGAACCTCCTATTTGACTGCACCCACATTCACTGGTGCTGGGGCCTCCCTCCCGGCCCTGTCACTTAGCCGCCCTCAGGGTTGAACATTAGGTACCAGCCACATGCCCAGCACTGTGCCGTGTGCTGCAGGTGTACACATCCACCCAGCCTATTCCTTTCTTTACGTCACATACACTTATCGGGAATGAACTCTGGCCTCTACCTGTCCCTGGAAATCATCACAGGAAATACAGCATCTGAGTCACCTTGTCCAACAGTGAACATCATCTGATTCAGAATTGGATTCTAAAGTCAGTGCTTATTGAGGAAGTTGTGTTCAGCCAAATTTATTCCTGGATTCGTTAGGCAGGTGCCGTGTCGTTCTCTTAGTAAGCCCAGCACAGCTAGCTTTTCCTCCAGCCTCAGAAATGATGGCTGTTTCTAAGGGTAAACCCCAGGGAAGGAGGTGCTGTCCGTCTGGGAACCAGGTTGTACAAAGGTCTGTACCTTTAAAAATCAGACTCACACCTGGTGAGGTAAGATGCCAATGTTATCAGAGACACGTGGGGATCAAGAGTGAGCGAGGGAACATGGACCAACATCTCACGCTCCCTCCAGGGTCCCTGCTCCCCAGATATGGCTGAGCACAGTTGTCATTTGCCTTCTGTTTCTTTTTTTGCCAAGTGTGCATGATTAGTTCAATTCCCAGAAATTAAACATATAAAGCAGAACAAGCAGGATGGACTTGTTCTGGATGGTCTCACACACCTATAGAGGCCACCGGAATGAGGCTGTCGGCACAGGGGGTAGGAGAGCACTTTGTGATGCCCCCAGGTTAGTGCCCTCTCCCAGTGACCTCATTTCTCTAAGAGTAAACCCCAGGGAAGGAGGTGCTGTCCGTCTGGGAACCAGGTTGTACAAAGGTCTGTACCTTTAAAAATCAGACTCACACCTGGTGAGGTAAGATGCCAATGTTATCAGAGACACGTGGGGATCAAGAGTGAGCGAGGGAACATGGAACAACATCTCACGCTCCCTCCAGGGTCCCTGCTCCCCAGATATGGCTGAGCACAGTTGTCATTTGCCTTCTGCTTCATTTCTTGGAAAGTGTGCATGATTAGTTCAATTCCCAGAAATTAAATATATAAAGCAGAACAAGCAGGACGGACTTATTCTGGATGGTCTCACGCACCTATAGAGGCCACCAGAACGAGGCTGTCGGCACAGGGAGTAGGAGAGCATTTTGTGATGCCCCCAGGTTAGTGCCCTCTCCCAGTGACCTCATTTCCTTGCTGAAATGCCACCCTTTAGGTAAGACAGTGATCCCCTGCTGCCCATCTGCTGATTGGTGCCCACTTGAGGAACTTACTGAAAACACAGATTCCTGGGCCATAACCTCAGAGGTTTTGATTCAGTAGGTGTAGAGCAGTGGTCGGCAAAACGCGGCTCTCGAGCCACATGCGGCTCTTTGGCCCCTTGAGTGTGGCTCTTCCACAAAATATCACGTGCGGGTGCGCATGTACAGTGCAAAGTTGACTTAAAACTTTCAGTAAAGTTTATTAAGTTTATTTTTGGGAATGTTGTGGAGTGAAAGAAGATGTAGTGTCGAGGATTGAGAAAGGTATGTTGAGATGGTTTGGACATATAGAGAGGATGAACGAAAGGAGATAGATGAAACAACTATACGAGACGAGTGTGGATGGGAGAGTTGGAAGGGGTCGACCTCAGCGAACGTACCTCAATCAGATTGAGGACGTTTTTAGCAAAGGCCAGCTTAGGAGTACCCTAATTAAGTTAATAACAATGTACCTACCTATATAGTTTAAGTTTAAAAAATTTGGCTCTCAAAAGAAATTTCAGTCGTTGTACTGTTGATATTTGGCTTTGTTGACTAATGAGTTTGCCGACCACTGGTGTAGAGGAAGGTTTGCATATTCATAACTTAAGAGCTCTCCCCAGCGAATTCAAAATGGCTAATAGCTTGAGGAACCTCTGGGTTAAAGCACTCAAAAGGCACCAAAAATATTAATATCCATCACTGAAACCCAAGCACCTGGTTCAACAGATAAATAGATGTCAACCTGGAGAGCAAAGAAGTAATTAGAATAGAGAACATACTCGGACACGCGTGGGGAACAGCACTGGGGGAGGGAGGGATGGCGAGAAGCTTCTGGGTGGTCACGAGGGCTCGACAAAGAGCTGTAGCAACAAAGAACCAGAGAGGAGATGCCGCAGGGCCGCTGGGGCTGACCTCACCATCCACGAATGCGGACCCACCAAGCAACTCTGGCTCGTGGAGAACAAGGAGAACTGCCCCAAGTGGACAAAGCATACGTCACAGTGGATCTTTTCACTGAACATGCCTTTACCGGGCTCTTCTCTCCTCCAAACACATTTCATTTTGAGAACAAGGAAAGCCATAGTTCTGTTGCAGTGAACCAACAAACACAAGGCTGAGAAACCAGAGGCCATTATGCGATTAAATCTACACGGGGCGGGGCACTTATCTGTGGACGATCCGGAGGTTTCCACACAACAGAGCTTCTGCATGGACCGCACTTCGTGGCCGGCTCAGCATCCACTTACCTTCCGCTCTGGCCAGTTGTATTTGGCAAAGATCGTGTCGTAGGTGTCCACCGCCCCGTCGGTGATGAGCATGATGGCCTGGCTGCAGATGCTGCCTTGTCCCGTGTGGTTGAACTGCAGAAAGAAGTAAGTGCAGAATAAAACAACTCATCGGAGAGCTCTGTGTATCTGCAAGACTTCAGAGGCAAGAGGCCGTGGGCTTAGGGAGCCTCTCAGAAGGAGAGCACAAGGGCACCACCAACGCAGAACCTGCTCAACAAGGCCTTCCCCAAGCGGGGGTCACGCTCTGACAACTTGGAACGGCATACAGACCACAGAAGGGATTTCTGAAAACCAGGTATAAGGTGGGAAGTGAGATGTGAACACATCTAACTTCTCTCACCTCCCGGTGTGGACAGCCTCAGAACACAAGCCCGGAGGAGTTGGCACGGCCCGTCAGGGACACATTATATGGGCGGCAGATTGTGTGCCAGGCAACATCTCTTTCAAAATCTGAGTCTGGCTTGAATGGGTCTAATGGGTACAAGCTGTTCTATACAATAAAATCAAGGAGGTTTGGGACATACAGAGAATAAAGTCAGGATCACAACAATACAGATTAGAAGCTTAAGCACCCTTGGTTTAGGGTTTGTTTTCAACATATAGCTGAAAGCTTGTAACATTTTGTACTAGTTTATACACGTTAGCATGTGTAGCATGCTGAAATTCCAAGATTGTGCCCACTGGTGTGCAGAGCCCTACATGTCCTCAGCTTTCATCTTTACATAACGTTGAAGAGTCCCAGCCTCGGTGAGAGGTAGGCTGGGGGGCCAGACTAGGCTTATTAGAGCTTCGTGTCCTTCCCTGAGTCAGGAGTGAAGACTTCCCTCAATGAATGTCATTCACGCTGCAATTCCAAGCAACACCATGTCCTTTAAAAACCCTACAATGATGTGACAATGCTAGGGCATGGGAACCACAAAAAGTCTTTAACCTTCAGACATCAAACTCCATCCACTATAAACTATAAAGTTTATTCATGTATTCAAAAATTATTTACTAAAAGCCCACACACTACTGGCAATATAACATACAAAAATCCCTTCCCTCGTGTAGTTTATATTCTATCTGGGGAGACATAGAAAAACAAAGTAAATAAGTAAATTATATTGTGTGTTTAATGATGGTGATGCTAAGAGGGGGGAAAGAAAACAGAGAAAAGGAATGGGATATGCGAAAGGGGTACCTTTAGAAAAAGTAGTCAGGGAAGACCTCACTGAGATGGTGACACTTGAGTAACTTCTGAAGGAACTGAGTGTCTGGGGTAGGGCATTCCAGGGGGGCGGGGGGGACACAACAGTGCGTATAGCCCCGCTGGTGTTGCTCAGTGGTTGAGTGTTGGCCCTTGAACCAGGAGGTCACAGTTTGATTCCTGAGGGCCCATGCCCAGGTTGCTGGCTTGATCCCCCCTAGGGGGTGTGCAGGAGGCAGTCAATCAATGATCCTCTCTCATCATTGATGTTTCTTTCTCTCTCTCCCCCTTTCTCTTTCTGAAATTAATAAAAATGTATTTTTAAAAAACCATACATACAATGGCACCCAGCATGTTCAAACTGTTGACCATGAAACTGGGAAGGGATAGAAGCTTCTTTTGGATTGGCTTCTACCTCCTGGTGAACCAAAGAGCTAATAAAACATTCAAGTTGAAGTTTAACGCCCAGACTCCATGCACTTAGAATTCTGATGTAGAGTTTGAAGTTGTAGTAACTTGAAAGAAGACTATAATTGATGGATGGATGGATGGGTCGGTGGATGGATGGATGGATGGATGGAAGGAAGGAATGACTTGCCTTGTGGCCACATTGGGACAGAGCAAAGCCAACTGGAAACATGCATGATGTATCATGAGACAGTGGAAAGTGCTCAACACCATCCCAGCACCACAAGCTGTGTGCCTGGAGTGAGTTCTTACTTCAGAGTGTCCTTTTCTTCATTTATCTGATGGGAGTACCATGCTTACCTGCTTGCTACAACACAGGTTAAATTTCATTATATGCTGGGCTATACGTATATACTTAACCTTTACTAGCCTCTGAGGTAGGTACTATCATTATCCCCATTTTACAAGCCAAGGAAACGGAAGCACAGAGACATTAGCTAACAAGGTCACACAGCTACTAACTGCCATAGCTGAGATTTGAACCCAGGCAGTCCAGCTCCAGAAGCCACTCCCAGATTCAGCACACTCTAAGGGCCTCCCAATAAGATCCCTGAGCAGATAGAGATACATAGTAGGACTCCACAAACGTCTATTTCCTTCTCCTGTCTCCATCCTGTCCAGGGTTCCAGGGTCACTTGGCGTTACCAGGGCTACCACCCTGACAGTGAGTGAGTGCTCCTTACATTTTGTGCACTAGACACTGACCTCACTTAAGTCCTGCCCCTGGCAGCCACTCCTGCATCTCAGACTGGACAGATGTCCTTGAATTAATGAGCAGACATGGCCCATGACACAAATGAGTAGGTAGAAATCCTGACAACTAAAGCCAACACACCACAAAGCTTCACATCACTACTATTCTACCGTCTTTATTGACATAACAATATTCCAGAAAAATCTCGCTGAGAGAGATAAAAATTGCAAATAACTTTATGGCTTCTTCCAGGAACTTCCTGAAAGACCCATCAACTCTTCAATAGAAAGCATCAAAGGACAATTCATACCTAAGACTCTTTGAACTCCCATCTCAAAATCCTCCCCTTGCTGCATCTACCAATCTTCCACTATAACATTAGGATTCTTACTGGGTCTTAACCAAGCCTCTTTCTTCTCCTCCTCCCTAAAGGACACACCTTCAATCAGACTTCAATCAGTCTCAATAAAGGACTTTGTCATTCCCATATGAGACACCACTTAGATCTTATGGTCAGAGTGCACTTGGTTCCTTACTGCAGGAAGGAAAACAGCCTTGTAGCCTTGTCTTATCAACAGGTTGTTCTGGAGATACTTTGGGGAGCTTGCATCTAACACAGCCTTGAAGCCACTGAATAAAGGTGATCTATGCTTCAAGTCACAGAAGCTGCAGAAAGGGGAAAAACAGGATTGCTTGGGGATGTTGTTCATGCAACTCATTTGAAAACATCCTGGAAAAACTCTCCCAAATAAAAGGCAAGAAAGAGGGGGTGGGGGGAAGGAGAAATGAAGATATCTGAATAACACAGACTAGAAGAAGGAATGCCCAGAGCTGTTTATTTAAAAACATCATTTTCCTCTCTGGCTGCATCCTTGGCATTCTCTGCAGCAATCTGCAGTTGGAGAATTTGGGAGAACGCAATTAAATTCAAATGCTTTGATGAGTACTATCTCTTCTCTTCATATTTGTCTAGAACTTTTTTGTTGTTGAATAGCAAGAGTGATGAAAGTGTTTTCCATAATAATAACAGTGACAAGGGCCTGATGATGAACTACAATTAGCTCAGTGATTCATCAGTTAGCAGAGAAAATTTCAATGCATCCTGACATTTAAAGCATTTGGTTGTGATTAACAGTCTTTGAAATGTCACCGAATTTTATTTAATTGGCTAAGAAAAAAATTTTAAAGGTAATCACTGCAAAGATCATATTCATTGCCAAAAAGATAATTGCAGTTGTCACATGACAAGGTAGATGTTAACTACTGTAGCAAACTGGCTCTGTGTTCTTAACAGAATCTAAGGAAGGCAGCAGAGATCAACAGCCAGAAGGGTCTTACAAAGATATTTGAATGCTCCTTTCAAAGCTGTTTGTATAGTAACTGCAAGCCTTTAAGCCATCTGAGCAAATACTGAAACTGAAAGGCAGGTAAATGCTAAACAGAATTAACTGCATTTGGTTATAGTTACCTCTGAGCTATTCTAAGTTCTAGCCACAGTCACAATTTCAAGAGTGTGTGTGTGTGTGTGTGTGTGTGTGTGAGAGAGAGAGAGAGAGAGAGAGAGAAAGATATGTGTTTTTGTGTTTGAGAAATCACTTTTTATTTCATATTTGCTTATAAAGGCAGGCATAATACACAGGAAGAGAAATACATCACATAAAGATCATATCGGTGAAGGGGAAAATAGCTAGAACTTCATTTTCATGAGAGATTAACCTTCTCTGTGTTTTTCAGTGTTTGACTATTTAAAACCCCAATGGCAAGAGATAAAATGAAAATGCTTTTCTCTATGGGATAAATGTGCACTAAAAAAGTATGGTGTTAACTACCAACCGACCTCAAGTAGGGACATTTTGTAACATTTTTTGTTCCTTCTGTTTCTTACTTTCCGGATTTACATTTGGCCCATAACTTCTTCTGATTGGCCAGGCCCTAGAGGATTTTTCCAGATGAAGGCAGAGCAAGTAGGTATGTGGAAGGTTTCTCTGGTTCAAAAATACTTCTCTCACCAGGATTCAAGGGGGAAAATCCGCCATGTGGTGAAGTCTCTGGATTGTAGAGGTGTTGGGAGGGTAATCTACCCCCCTGGAGTACACAAAGATCCCATGCCTGAAAGTGTGCTCCTTGGACTGTGACTTGTGCAAGATTCTAATCCTATGGATATGACATGATATAAAGGGTTCCTGGGTCACTATGTTTGAATACTGGTATAAACATATTTGAAAAGGTTGGTTCATTGCAGGACTTCCAGGCCTTTAACATGTTCAAGTGCACTGTGCATCCCCCCACCTTGACCACAGCACCTATGTGGGAGCATCTTGGAAGGTCAGCATTCAAATGGGCGTGCAATGAGAAACAGTGGTGTAAGGTGTTGGAGAACAAAACTGGTAAGTGGAAGGGAAGGGAAGAGAAAAGGAACCGGACAAGGAAAAGAAGAGAGAGGAGGATGAAAGTGATACCATTGTAATTAGCTAATTATTAAAAACTAGAGGCCCAGTGCAGGAAATTCATGCACGGGGGGCGGGGGGGGGGTCCCTCAGCCCAACCTGCACCCTCTCTAATCCAGCAGCTCTCAGGGGATGTCCTACTGACAGCTTAGGCCCACTCCCCGAGGTTATCTGCTCTCTGTGGGGCCTGCCTGCTCCACACCAGGGCGATGGCAAGCAGGCCCTGCTGGGTGCTGCCTGCAGGCTGCGCTTGCCTGCTCAGGGGTCCCTGCGGCGACCCACCAGCAGGACCTGCTAGGTGCTGCCTATGGGCTGCGCTTGCCTGCTCGCGGATCGCCGTGGCGACCCGCCACGCCCGGCGACCCGTCAGCAGGCCCTGCTGGGCGCTTGCCTGCTCCAGGTCGCCACGGCAATGCCTCCTGGGATCACGTTGCCGGGGTAACGCAGCCAGCGTCCTGCCCCAGCTGCTATAGACACCACCATCTTTGTCGGGGAGTGACAGTTATTTTGCATATTACTCTTTTATTAGATAGGATAGAAAAGGAGCAAAGGGGAAGCCAGACATTAGAGGCATGTCATTTGGGCAGCTTAACCAGGAAGCTGCAATTTCACATTCCCCAGGGAACCACCAGCCCATTCCCTGCAGATTGCTGGGGGAGGGGACTGGACAAAGTGGAGGGTAGGTGCATGCACCGTGAGTGGGGCTTGCACAGGAAGGTGCTTGCTGTCAGTCAATCCTGGGAACAGTGATTATTGACCAGAATAGACAGGGCCACTGAAGCCCGTGAAAATCTGGAGATACGTAATCCTGCAGACAAAAGAGCTCGTGCTCTTGACTTGTTCTTGGTCCCTTTGGCTTTGCTTCTGCCTATGTTCCCTCTATAGACCCATGACCCATGGCCATGTGGACCCCACAGGCAATGGACTAATAGATCGCAGTGAGAAACACAAACTAAACTAGCCTGGTTTGGACTATGCCCCGACGTGAAACAGAAACTCTGGATACTGGCTTTGATTTTAGCTCTGCTGAAAGCAAAATGGGACTTCTTTTATGGCGTGACTGAGGGAAATGGGAGCTTGGAAACGCAGGGGTTTGAATTCACAGAAATATTTTTATTTTATTTTTTACAATCTCTCATTCTTGAATGCTAGCCTCAGAAAATTCCTTTTCTCAGGATATTGCAAGAAGCCTACTCCACTAGCAACCAGTGGAGATGAGGACCTCTCCCCACCAATAACGAAGGGATATTCCTGAGCCCTTGGGCAGAGAATAGGACCAAGGTATCAGGAGGGGGAGCTACTCCTAGAAACCACAGGCAGCCTGGCAGAGTTGAGGCAGCCTCGTGTCCCTAGTCACGGAGATGGCTCTGCTCACTGAGCCCAGCACGGCTGAGAGGGGACCAGGCACCGCTTCCCCATGCTGACTTCTCAACCTCCGTCTACCAGGACCAACTTCATAGGCCTGTGATGTGCACAGCTGTTCAGGGCGATACACCTGGCTTAACACTGCTGTCATGCTCTTAAAATTCTTAATAACTTTCCAACAAGGGGCCTGCATTTCATTTGGCACTGGGCCTCACAAATCCTGAGGCCAGTGCTGGGTCTATGCCTGTCCCCTTTTCACAGGTGAGGAAAATAAGGGGAAACTGAGCACAGCTTTCTCAAGGCCACAGAATCAGGCTTCTCAGCCCAGCCTGCCTGACTCCAGAGGCCACACACATAACTACAGGACGAGCCTCTTCTAACTCTCACTCCTGCACCATCTCTGCCGAAGAGCAAAAGAACAGAAGTTCACTGCAGGCAGGTTTCCAAACAGGGACTCCCCGGCTCAAATTAGCCTCCCCCTGCTGCAGATATGAGGCTTTTGAGATAATAAAAAAAAGGGGGAGCCAATTTTCCAATCACAGGACGAGCCTCTTCTAACTCTCACTCCTGCACCATCTCTGCCGAAGAGCAAAAGAACAGAAGTTCACTGCAGGCAGGTTTCCAAACAGGGACTCCCCGGCTCCAACTAGCCTCCCCCTGCAGATATGAGGCTTTTGAGATAAAAAAGGAGCCAATTTTCCAATTGTGCCAAGTCCTTTCCATATTAGCTCCTAGAAAGAGCCTGCTGAGAGGCGGAGCTCCGCATCTCCAAGCCCGGAGAAGGCATCCATCCAGGATTCAAGCCAGAACTTAAAGGTGTAGTTTGGCCCTTTGCTCAGGCCAGGTATGCTTCTAAGTTATTAATAAGGTGTTAACAGAGTGCACTGTCCTAAACAACGAGGCTTGCATAAATGTTAATCATCCCTACCTGACAGCCCCTTGGGGTGACTGGGAGGGATGGCCTTGGGTTTAAACCAGTGGTTCTCAACCTTCTGGCCCTTTAAATACAGTTCCTCATGTTGTGACCCAACCATAAAATTATTTTCGTTGCTACTTCATAACTGTAATGTTGCTACTGTTATGAATCATAATGTAAATATCTGATATGCAGGATGGTCTTAGGCGACCCCTGTGAAAGGGTCGTTTGACTGCCAAAGGGGTCGCGACCCACAGGTTGAGAAGCACTGGTTTACATTGAAGAAGCTGGTGTGGCACCTTCCCTTCTTATTTTTCTCTCCTCTTTGGTTGTGGCATTGGCTCATTGCTGAGACCTAAATGGCCTTCTGGGTACCAACAGCTGTATTGGTAAAAGGGAGTCTAGAATCAGGCCTCACCCTTGGCTTGAGAGGTCAGAGTAGCTGAGTAGGAACAAGTCAAGTTTGGGAATTGGGCAAAACTGACCACCACAAAGGACCTGTGCAGTGTTGGCTGGATGCTGCAACCTGGCCCAGCCGGCCCCACACAGCTGCCTGGAGGCTCAGCACAGTGAGGCCCTGAACCTCTGCAGGTCTCCCAGCTCCTGCAACACCTCACCACAGCAGTCGCCCCATTTAGTGCCTGTTCACTCTCAGCTTCACCCCATGCCTTTTTCCTGAAAACCACGTTTCCCAGTCTCCCCAGCAGTCTTGACAAAGTTCATCTGGAGGAGAATACTTGAGGACACCAGGGAGAAGCCAGGTTTCTGAGCAATTTCTCCCTTCTCTCTGCTGTAAGGGTGTGGCGTTTTCTGGCAATGGCTGTGTCTCCTCCCCAGCGCTAGCTTCCCCATGCCAGGCCTTTCCCTCGTGGTTCTGCCCCCTCTGGACGGCCACAATGAGGAGGCTCTGATGTAGTCCCCCCCTCTTGTTGTCCCTCCTGCCCTAGAGAGGAGTGCCTCCTGCTGGCATTCTTCTGTGGATTGTGTCATTCCCTGCTTGGTCTCAGCTTTTCCATCCCAGTGCAACCAATTCTCAGAATTAAACTCCTGCTGTTTGAAATACCAAGAGTGCTTTCTATTTTTTTGCTTCTTAACATCTCAACTGCTGCCTCCCTGATCCAAGCCATTATTATTTGTCACCCAGATGATTTAATGGCCGTCCTGCTATTGTCTCTGCCCATCTACAGTTGCTTCTAAACACAGCAGCCAGCCAAATGCTGCTGAAACCCAATGTGCCATTCTCTGCTCAGACCCCAATGACTCCATCCCAACCAGAGCGAGAGCCAAAATCCTCACCAGGGTCTGCAACGCTCCACATGACCAGGCTCCTGCTACCCCGCGATCTCATTCCCTAGCACAATCTCTCTTCCTCACTTGTTCTGGTCTCCTCCCTGTATTGTAAAAATGCCAAACACCCTGCCTCAGGGCCTTTGCATTTCTGTTCCTCTTGCTGGAAGCTTCTTGTTGGACGTATGCACATGGCTGCCCCCTCACTTCCTTCAGGTCTCTCCTACAACATGACCGCATCAGAGAGACCTTCCCTGGCCTCACTGTATAAAGCAGCAACTGCCATCATGCTCACACCATGGTGCTATCCTTCTTCATAGGAAACATACCTCATCTGTCTTTGCTCACTAGAACTGGGATCAGCAAACATCTTCTGTAAAGGCTGACATAGTAAGTATTTTAGGTTTTATGGGCCATGTGGTCCCTAGTGCAACTAACCAGCTCTACCGATGTAGCGCGTGAGGAGGCACAGACAATACACAAGCAGGTGGGCATAGCTGCATTTCAATCACACGTGCAGGCTGGATGTGGCTCATGGGCCAAAATGTGCTGACCTTTGCCCTAACATGCAAAGTAAATTAAGGCAAACAGTTGCCAATTCTGTTCCCTACCATCTTGTCTGACATTATAAAGCATACAATACATATTATCTAAATAAATGATCCAGGAACTGCATTGATGAAGACAGTCATCATTTTCTCCACCACCCTCTCAGAGCAACGGGGACACAAAAGTCGCATGTGGTTCTAGCGTCACACAGGTGGATTCAAAGAAAAAAATCACCTGCCCAACACCAACACATTGCCTGGGATGTTAGCAGGTGCTACTTGAAAAAAACACTCTTTGTTCAAAGTGTGAGACACAGCTGATCACACAGAATTCTTCCCTGCAGTACTTACTGGAACCTGGGCTATGGTACTATTTATTGGGGATCTCCAAGGGGCTGGAATAGAGGGGAGGAGAGGTTTAGCACACCCTAAACCTCAGAACATCGTCACATTCACGGGTCTACTCTATGAAGACATGGAGTTTCTCAGGTGAAGAGAAATCTGCATTATAAGGTGTCCAGATATTTCTGAGTCCAAAAGCATGGCTGGTGGGTCCGACCAGACTGCACCACAAACTCTGCCCAGCAGGGGGCTGGTTTGGCCTCCCCACTGGACCTGGTTCCCCAGACCTCACACAGGGCCGGCCACTTCATCCTCCCACCTGTACCGTGACACTGCTCAGTGACAGCCAGGCCTAATCAGAATGCTGGTCCACAACTAAAACGAATCCCATCTAGTCTGTTGGACGAGAGAAAGGCAAATCCGAGAGGAGCTTACATCGCTGAGAATGTTAAAGGCCTCGTTCAGAGCGATATCCAGCATCCCGATTCCTTTGGCAAAAAGTTTGTCCAGGTGCTCCCTGAAGTGCTGAAACAGAAAGCAGAAAACCCATTAGTGTCTGTCCTATTATGAGAAATGCCCCACATGTTGCTGCTCCTAAAAAATGGGCAAGAGGGAGCCCAGCACATGCCCAGGGGCATGTTGAGTGTGTGTGATGTCCACTGAACCAAAGCCCCTGTCCACAGAGACTAGGTGCCTGGCATTGCTTTCCAGCGGACCCATTCTGAAACCATTTATTTTCTATGGAAGGGTATTCTTCTCTTCCCAAAGGCTTCCACACCTTGTCTGTTGGGAAAACGGATCAGAGAAGTCACCAGGAGGCAGGAAGGTGGGCCTCATGGGAAACCTTTGCTGGCGATTTCCTGGTCTAGGATTGTTTTTTTCTTTTTTCTCTTACCATGCCCTGGTACCCAACAACGCCCCAAGCATGCCATCAGCATTGAGATGGTGACACCCACTCATGCACATCTGCCATAGGACCCTGAAACTGATCACAGAATCTGAGCAGATCATAGAGACGGGTCCTGGGTCATGGCTAATGGTTCTAAGACGCTGTTCTGCCTGTGCCCCCTCAGGAAACACCAGGCCACTGCTCACGGAGATGGACTGCAGGCTTGCTGGCCCACGGGACTAGGGCTTCAGTGGGCTCCTCAAGGCCATTCAGCTTTAATGACACCCAGGCTGAACTTGAATCAAGGCTGGATTTAAAGTTCACCCTGGGGCTATTCACACACCCACAAGCAAGATGTTCCCTAGCCCACCTGGCCCTCACAGCAACCGCACCCTCATGTTCAGAGCAGCTCTGGTTATCAAAGCCTGCTCCATGTTAGATTTATATATATATATAATTTTTTACAGAGAGGGATAGAGAGTTAGAAACATAGATGAGAGAGAAACATCGATCAGCTGCCTCCTGCACACCCCCTATTGGGGATGTGCCCGCAATCAAGGTACATGCCCTTGACCAGAATCGAACCTGGGACCCTTCAGTGCGCAGGCTGACGCTCTATCCACTGAGCCAAATTAGGTAGGGCTCCATGTTAGATTCTTACATACCAGGTCACTGAGTCCTCAAAACAATCCAAATGGGGAGACTGAGGCTCAGCACCATGCCCAAATCCACTCACCTCCTGGTTGCCAGGCCCAGGTTCCTCCCACATCAGCTTCATCCACTTTAATTTCCTCCTTCTTTCTGATATACACCTACTGATTTTTTTCTTTAGTATTTTGTATGTCAGGTACTGGCCATGAGCTTGGCATACACCTGGCCAGTCTGGCTCCAGAATGCTCTTTCTTCATCCCTGTGTCTGAGCTGTGGCCGAGTCTATAGGAGATTGTCAAGTGCTTGAGTGATGGGGGAGAGAAATGCCAAAGGCCATGGAACCAGAAAAACCACACTGCCAGGAACCGAGCTCTGGGCTTCTCTGTTCTTCCTGCCTGGTGCTCACGGCCCAGCAGGACACTGAGCACGTGGCACGCCCTACATGAGCACCTCGGGAACAAATCCTGGCAGTAAGTGGGTCTAAGGAAGCCCAGGCGTCCTGGCCACAGAAGACTCAGGGCAATCAGAACAGATCGGTCCATCCTCACCAAGCACAACCACCTGGAACCTGACTTGTGGGGGGTGGCCACCGAGAGGACCCAGGATTAGTGAGTGTCACCCACGCACGCCCAGCATGCCGCTTGCAGAGGCTGCTCTTTAACCAGCCCCACGCTCCCACGGCAGTGACCAGAGGCTGCCTTGACAAGTTCATTCTGTTCACTGATGTCATTTCTGTCAACTGCATTTCATTGTGCTCAGTCGCACAGGTCACGCAGTATTGTGTTTTTTTAATAAGACAGCAGCCCCGCTTAGTTTTCCTTTTAATCCATGTGTAGCTGCGTGTCCTGTGGAGAAAGCGCTTCAGGCAACGGTTGCTTTCATTACTGGATACTTAGGGGTAAAATGCAACAGCATGTCATGGAATTTGCTTTTGTAATGACGTCAGTTGTGATTTTGTTTTTTCCTGGTACAAATCTGGTCCGTATATTAGATGGAAAAAATATTTCCTTAGGTTAAGGGTTTCCAAATGGTCTCACAGATGAAGAACTTTCTTTTTGCTTCTTTCTCTCCCATGTCCCTCGCATCCAAGCTGCCTTTGCTCCTCCTCCATACCCTGAACCCAATCAGCTTCATCCCCCAGGTCCTCCAGGCTGCATTAAACCCTCGGCCCAACTCTCCTTTTACACAAAACCCCATATTGCCTTCCAGGAAAACATCTCCCCTGATTGGCTTCCACCAGGAGCTGCTCTGTCCACCAAGGTAGCCATGAGCTACATGGAGGTCCTTACATTAGATTCAATTAAAATGACCTAACATTAAAAACTCAGCTCCTCATTCTCCCAAGCCATATTTCAAGGGCTTGATAGCCCCATGTGGATAGTAGCTGATGCATGGGACAGTGAGGAAGAAAGAGCATCCCTACCATTGCATCGTTAGTTCTGTCAGACAGCGCTGGCCTGGACACAGCACCTCCTCCTCACCAAGCCATTGACCAACTGTCAGTCAGAGGAAACCCTAAGGCTTGTAGCCAGTGGATACGTGTGATTTTCGCTTGTCCAGCATCCATTCCCCTTCTTCTGATTTTCCTGCTCCCCCACCGCTCATAATTTTTGTGGTGTAGGTATGGCTAACACCTTCCTCCCTCCTTCCCAGATCAAGGGGCGCGGGGGGCATGCAATCTGTGAATTCCACCTCATAGGCCGAGGTCAGGCATGGGCACATGATACAATCCCTGGGCTTCTGCTGACATGTGGGGAAGAAGGTGCTCCACTGAGATGACAGGTCAGGGAGGGAGGCTGGTGCTGCCTGCAGCCATCTGGCCACTGCCCAGGAAGAGCTCACCTGAGTAAGGTAACAGCAAAGCAGAGCAGAGCCCACAATGGAGGGGGCAAGATGGCATCAGGAGAACATGGCTGAGCCCCTAGACCAGTGGTTCTCAACCTTCTGGCCCTTTAAATACAGTTCCTCATGTTGTGACCCAACCATAACATTATTTTTGTTGCTACTTCATAACTGTAATGTTGCTACTGTTATGAATCATAATGTAAAGATCTGATATGCAGGATGGTCTTAGGTGACCCCTGTGAAAGGGTTGTTCGACCGCCAAAGGGGTCGCGACCCACAGGTTGAGAATCGCTGCCCTAGACCCAGCTATGCTTAGCATTTTCAGGTATGTGAGCCAACAGATTTGCTTCTTTGCCCCACCAGATCCAGCAGGATTTGGGCCACTTAATGGGCAGGACCTTGATGACCACGACCATCACATAAACTTGGCTGAGACAGTACCTCCCTGAAGCTTTCCCTGCATTACAATGTCCCTCCTCATCTCATCTATGCCACTTCCTCCACCCCCTCTTAACCACTATCATTACATCTTATGGTTTTCACACAGGGAGCAAGGCACTGCATGCCCAGCATGCCCTGGGTGTGCTTTCACTACCACGGCCTGGAGAGATTGCTGGAGAATCCTAACCACATGCCTCCAAGGGCCGTGTCTGAAAGGGAACGGAGAAGCCCGTTGACTGCCCTGCGGCCTCCTCATCAGTACGGATTTCCTTTCCTCTACTCCCAGTTGTGGCTGCTCTAGATTTAAAAATTGTTATATTTAATGCAATTATATTATAATCATTGCATGGAAGCAGTTGATACATAGACCCCGTGGACTCCCCTGGAAAACAAAACAATTGCTGAACTAGGGTTCAAGAGACATCCTAGTTCCGGTTACACCATTTACCAGCTATCAGACGCGAGGCATGTAGCTTTGGCTCTCGGGCCTCAGTACTGCCCCCTGTGAAATGGGGATGGGACAGCTCCTGCTGGGGAGTGGGAGAGCGGGAGCAGCTGTGCCTCAGAGCAGCAGGTGGGAGCCCTGGCCTGAATTCCAGCTCCTGACTGGCCACTTGCCCTCTCTATCAGCCTGGGAGCCTTCATTCTCCCCTAATGCAAGGGGGCTGGACTAACCTCTCACGGGTATTACAGGAAAAGAGAAGTCATCTGAAAGCCCGTGATGGCAGACAAATGGGAGACTTTGAATTTCATATTCACTAAAAGCAATACTTAAAAAAATCCTACAAAACTTCCTCCCTGCCATCTTCCTGGTTTGCAACTTTACAATCTAATACACCTTGAAAAATGACTCATCTTGTCCTTCCAGGTCCAGGTTTTATTAGACGGGGAGAGGCACGTGGTTGATGTCAGGGACACCGAGACCTGCGTGTCTCCCAGAGCCGGCTCCAGAGAACAGAGGATCCGGGACGGCCCGAGCCAGGCAGGCGCTCCTCAGCAACTGTGTGCCAGAAGGTGGCCAGTTTTCATTATTTTTCTAAATTAAAATAAACAATTTATTGGAAGTGGTGACAGTTCCATTTTATTATTAAACTTCAATAAAGGAGGAGGAGGGTGGCTCTTTATCTTTGCTTCAGGCACGCATGCAGCATATGCTGCTGCCCGGGACAAGGCCTGGCTTCCAAAGCAATTAAGGCGGCTGACTGCCTGGGGAGGTGGAGAACGCGAGCGTCGCGGCTCTGTGTGCCCGGGTGCCAACCGCACAGCCAGGCCGCTTATCTCTGCGAAACACGCACAACATCCAGGCCGCCGGGGGTCCTGCTGGAATAACCCTCTCCCTCACCAGCATTTGATTTCCTTGAATCAACAGTGATAACAGCAGCCATGTTTTTTCCTGTCTCTATAATTATAGGGAATGTTTGAGTCCTGCCAATTAAGAGCAGGGGATTAACATGAAAGTGGACAGAAACCGTCCCCCATCCAGGAGCCCTGGAGTAGCGGCGGTCCTTCCTGGGGAGACGTGGGGGGAGGCTGACAGCCCCTGTCAGTGATGCCCATCAGGTGACCCCCGTCCAGCACACCTGGGTTTTGTACCCGTCAGGTGTGGGCGAGGGCACTGCGGCACCTCAGCCTTGGGAAGGCTCTCGGGCATTGCCACCCAAGTCCTCCAGTGGCAGCAAGCTTGGCCCACTGACAGCTG